CGTATAATTGTCTGTAAGTCATACATTCACCTGAGTCCCATTCAATTTCCTATCAAAACCACTTAAGATTTCTTTGCACTACTCATATTCCTCACCTCTTAACTTGTAACCCCGCTCTGCTATCCTCCATTACTCCTGCACTTACAGGCTGCATTGAATAGTGGGAAATGATGGGAAATGAAATGGGAAATTGATGCATACACATTTACCAGCTGGCTGCATTGAATCACAGGAAATGTATTCTTGACGCGTCACGTACTGGCTGCAGTGACGAACTACCACGTACGCACTTAACGGCTGCATTAAATTACGTTCACGCACTGTTGATTATTGATTAAATCGGATTTTCTACGACTTATGCAGTTTGCCTGCAACTCGGACTTCAAGTAAATTATATTAAATGTTATGGTCCTGATTGATACGACTTATGTGAGTTTTACTGTAATTGGAAGGGTTATTGAAAAATGGAAGATAAATGGAGTGAATGGATTGCTCTTTCACAAAGCCAACCATAGACTTGACAGGCCGAATAGCCTTATTCTGTGTTGTAAATTTCTATCGTTCAAAATAGATTTAATACTTATATCTGTCTTGAATTGTCACATTTTCCCATCAGTTTCCAATGATTGTCTGCTTCTCCTGACCTTGACAAAGGTTTGGTCTTTTCAAACTTGTTTGGCTGCCATCTGGATGGTGCTAGATGATGCTAAGTGGGGCAGTATTTTTTTTTAACCCCTGACCTCTCCAGCTTCACAGGAGTTAAATTCTTGAGTTAAATCGTTGTCCTGTTTTTACTTGCGCTGAAATGCTGGTCTCCATGATCAGGAGCAAGACTGGAGCAAGAAATTCCTGTTTAACATCATTGCAGTGAGGTTTGTGGGAGAGTGGGAGGGGAAAATGGTTGAAAAGCCTCCGGACACCCAACACCACCCAGATCCACACATGAAGAATAGCCCAGCATTCAGTTGCTCATCCATACAAATTGCAGCTTAACTGTGTCAAAAATCTTTTAGTTGAATGAACACTGAGGGAGATTGTCCAGGATAGGGTTTCTTTAGTATGAAAACTTAATGAGGTGCTGGTGTAGATACAAGGGACTTCAATTAGGTCCACAGCAGTGGAGAGCTTATGAGAACTCATGAACAAACTTGGTAGGACTTTGATTATACAATGCCCATGGGTGTTGGTGTGAAAGGTGATGGTTTCATTTGTCGTGTTCAGATATTGGAAAAGCAGAATGTCCTTGTATGACACAATGGGAAGCTTTTGCATGATAGATGGCACGGAAGCAGAACAGGGGCCTGAGGGTGAGATTTCTGTCATTCTTTTTTCAGTTCTGAGTGAAATATGACCTCCAGGTAACTCTGCATTTCCAGTTGTGCAGATCAATTCCTATTTAAGACAAAATTATTTGAAGATAATTAAAATTATCCTTGCATTTGATATGGCCCGTTATGTCATCAAAATGTCTCAAAGTATTATCTGTAAAGTATTACTGATTGTGAATTGATATGCAAACACAGCAGCCTATTTGTGCACTGCAACATCCCATAAAGAGCCATTCATTTTTTTTTGCCTGGGGATTGTCCCCCAGCACACATTGGAATATCAGGCTAGACTATGAAATATTTCTTAATGCCCTTCCGACTCAGAGGTGAGTGCTGCTATCTGATCCAGGCTGACACTTAGAGATAGTTGGAATGTTGGAACTTGCCAATTGTGGAAGAGCTGCTAGAGGCAGACAGACCCATATGTCAAAGATTTTTGCAAATCGATAAAGCATAAAGTGATTCCCAAAGTTGTTAAGGGGAAGTTACTAAATGGTGCAGCACTCGGTGAAGGAGCTTTGTTTCCCTCCCTCCCAGCTCAGGTAAAGTCAGAATAAATTGCTACTTGGAGTCTATGTGACTCTCACAGTCACACAGGATTGTGTGGGGTTCGAGGAAAAATACTGTAGGTATGAAGTAGAGCGGGCAGACTTTGTCTAAATGTCGAGGGTACCTTTTGGGAAACATTTTGATGGGAGATTTGGGTTGTCCTGGGCAGTGAAGTAATGAGAACAAGGAGGGTAGCACTATTTGATGAGTTTTTCTTGAAATAGAATTCAGGGACACCACAAACTAATTACTAGTTGCTTTGATGGTTAGCTGTATAAATGCACCACCCAATGTGGCACAAGGCCATGCAGATTGGGATGGTCCCAGTTCAATTATTGTTTTGTACCGATTATCCTGTGGGTGAGTAAATCTTGCTGGAAACTGTTTGTGCAGATTTTGGGGTGAAAGCAAGATTGTATTTTGACCTGTGAAAGTTTTTCTCAGTTTAACAGCCTCCTGAAAGTCATTGGGATTGAAAAAAAGTGCTCAAACAGGAAAAGTGTATAGTACAGAGTACAATAAACCTCACATAAGTCATAAGTTGTGACCATTGTGTTTAATATGACTTATGCAAAGTATGAGTTATGTCAAACTTGCAAAGACTATAAATTCTTGAATGGCAGATGTATGACTTAGGTGATTATACAGTTTATATAGATCAGACTTGTGCAAGTTTTACTGCAATTGATGTCAGAAGAAAACTAAGGATATAAAGTGCATCACATACAGGATCCTCACAGGAAGTGCATTACACTGACCTGTGAGAACTCTGCTCTGAAGTGATCACGGTTTGAGTTGTGGGTAGTCAGCGTAACACACTTACCCTGAGATGCACTTCACATCGCATTACATCATTCCAGCATAAGATTTGTGGGTTTCTGTGGGATTCTGGCCACATCACAGAAACAGCTCTGACATTTTGTCCATCTGGGATCAGGGCTCCCTCTGCCTTCTCATCCTCCTTGACCTCTCTACTGCCTTGGATACCGTTGACCACTCTATCCTCATCCACCACCTCTCCTCTCACCTCAACCTTCCTGGTTCTGTCCTTGAATTGTTCAGATCGTACCTCTCACACCATCTCCACTTCACCTCCACAAATGGTTTCTCCTCTAGCCCCCACACCGTCTCTTGCAGTATTCCTCAGGACTCCATTTTTGGTCCCCTCCTCTTCAATATCTATATGCTCCCCCTTGGTGACATCATCCGCAGACATGTGGTCAACTTCCACATGTATGCGGATGACACCCAACTCCATCTCTCTGTGCCATTCTTGACCTCTGCTGTCCTAACAGAATGTCTGTCAGACTCAAGTCCTGGATGAGAACTAACTTTCTTCAGTTGAACGTCAACAAGACCGAGGCTCTCCTGATTGGCTCCCGTCAGCACCTCCACACCTCAGGCGCTGACAGCATCACCATCCATGGTTGCACACTCCACCTAACTAAGCCAGTCCGGAACCTTGGCATCTTGTTTGACCCTCGACTATCCTTTCTACCCCACATCCGTGCCACAACCTGCTCTGCCTTTTCCCTCCTCTGCAACATCGCTCGGCTCCGCCACTGTCTCACCACTCAGGCCACTGAAATCCTCATACATGCATTCATAGCATCCAGGCTTGACTATGCAAACTCCCTGCTTGTCGGCCTCCCCAACTCCTCCCTCCATAGGCTGCAGATTATCCAGAACTCTGCAGCTATGTCCTTTCCCGCACCAGGCTCTGTGATCTATCATTCCCGCCCTCGCCCGACTTCACTGGCTTCCCTTCACACAGAGGATACAGTTCAAGATCCTGGTCTCACTTTCAAAACCCTCCATGGTCTTGCTCCCCCCTACCTCTGCGACCTCCTAACGCCCTACCATCCTGCCCTCTCCCTCCGCTGGCTCCGGCCTGCTTCATGTCCCCCGCCTCGCTCACCCCACCATTGGCAGGCGGGCCTTCCGCCACTCTGCCTTCACCTCTGAAACTCCATCCCTCAGTCCCTCGTACTCATCCCCCTCCATTGTCACCTTCAAGACCCATCTCAAGACCCTCCTCTTCGCCTGTGCTTTCGATCACCCTCCTTTCCCCTCCCTGCGAAACACTGACTGTCCAGGGCTTTGGGACGTCCTCCTGATGTGAAAGGCACTATACAAATGTAATTTTCTTGTTGTTTGGCCATACATTAACATGAGGCTTCCTGTAGGATAGGAGCAGAGAGAATTGGTAAAAATCTAAAAGTGCTATACCTAGACTGGAACTCAAGCCTCACCCCTATGATACAGCAGCCACAGTCACAGATACAATCTTCAATGTCTGCATTTGAGGTTAGTATAACCTGGAGGAAGAAGAAGAACAACAATTGAGATTTATATAACATGTTTTATATCAGGAGGACGTCTCAAGGAACTTCATACAACTGATTCTGAATCCGAATGGGTGGAGGTGAGGAGGGGAGGGATAAGGTGTATGGTGGGACGAACCCATGGAAGAATCCTGAATTCAATCTACTGGGGAATGGGGAGCCAGTGGAGGATGGGGTGAATAAAAGAAATCATGGTTCTGGTTAAGCCTGGAGTGGAAATGATACAAGCTGCAGAGTTCTGGATGGTGTGTATGTAGCTTGTGCAGGGAGGTGCTGGGGAGTCCTGCGAGCACCTGAGTAATTGTGCCTGGAGGTGATGAAGGGATGAATAAGGGTCTCGGCAGCCTGGGGGAGAGGTGGTATTGTATGACAATGCTTCACTGCATTACAATTTTCATTCTTACCTTAAATAGGGTTGGTGACATTATGGGGTAAATGAGTAATTGAGAGAGCAAATGAGCCTCCCATCAGATGTTAAGTTTCTTATAAGGCTAATGGAATAAAAGTATTTGGAATATAATGAAGCTAAGAGGACTGAGTATTATTGCATATATCTTTTATGACAGTGCGCAAATTGGCTGCAGCATTCGCCTACAAACACACAGTCATTTCACTTCACAGTAAATCCCACGAAGTGCTTCGGGATGGCCTTCCAACGTAAGAGTATACCAAATGCAAGGATGATGATGGTTGTTTTTTTTTCTAGCTAGATGTGTTTGGAGGACCCGTGAACAGAAAGCATCAGTATTTGATTTATTTTCTAATTGTTTGTTTTCAGCACAGTGGACATCCGCAACTGTAAATATGGGTGATGTGGAATTGGCACCTCACTCGCTTCAGACTCCTGGAGCTCGGTTGGGGGTACAGGATAGCATGGGAATCAGCACCTTGGAGCCTGGTCAGAAGCCGCCCAGCTCACCACCTGGAAAACTCACCCCCATCAAGGTTCAGCTACTGGACGAAGCCCAAGAAGTGTATGAAGTTTCGGTAAGGTCCTCTTACAAGCCAAAGCAGAGGAGACCTCTTACTTAGTGAATCTAATTGCCTTTCATTCCCCCTTCAAAAAAAAGTCCCAACCCACCAAATAATTGTCTATGTTAGTTGCTGGTGGTCTGGTGTCAATGTGCATTGTCATTCTCTGCTCAGTGCTCAGATTTATTTTCTTGACTGATGTTGTTGGTGGGGAGGGGGTGAAGCTCACAAATAGATTGTTTACCTCTGAAACTCCACATAAGGAAAATGGTCTCCAAAATGAATGTACCATCAATTCTCTTAAGTGAGATACTCAACAGTATCTCAAACCACTGAAGATTTACGTGACTGCTCTAATCATATCAGTGTGTCGATTCTAACGGCGGTACGGTGGGGGCGGATAAGCTCATATGTACCAGAACCACAGTGAGGCATTCTTTGTCAATTCAAACTATCCAGCACAACTAAACAGGATGAACGTTGAAAGCACTAGTAGCATTCATCTGCATATGCACTTTTTCCACTCTTGCCATGTCCCTCTGACATGTTCCTTTCCTGGAATATGTTGTCACAGTGGTCCTCCCCAACCCCACCCCATGCAGACCCAGATAACCCAGGTCTATTATTGCCCACACTGTGCCATTAATGACGACACTTCACAAAGTTCTGCTGAACATTTCATTTCAAAGATTGTCCTGGCAGACCTCCAGAGAACAACATTTATCTGCTGCTTGCTTATCAGTAGATGATACATTGTCAAATTCTCGCTGAAAGCAGAATTATAAAGAAAACAGTAACACTTTCCAGACTCCTTGAGACTTTGCTGGAATTCCTCTGTACCTTCAGGATAATTATCCTATCTTTATAGCTAGCAAAGAGAGGAACATTTTTTTTAGTTTTGGTGGTCTGATTGTTGTTGGTTTGTAGCTTGTCTTTTGTTGTTCAGCCGGGTGTCTTGACACATGCGAAAATCCATTACCATGCTTCAGGTATCTAAACCAAGCTGGGACTTCCACGCATCCCACTTGTACATGAAAATTCCAGAGATATTTGTTGAAATGGTATGCGCATTCTCTCCCTGGAGGAATACATCCTGCTTAGGTAATTCTGGAAAATATTAGGTGGAGGTTGACAAGAGCCAAGGCTTGGAGACCCCAGAATGTGCGTTGGGGTACTGCTGGAGTCTAACCAGCTAAAACTGCATAGCTTGCCATTGATATCGCTGTCTGGCAAGCTTTCCTGTTGCTTGTGCAGTTAGGACCACCCTACCCTTTAGGACTTTGGCTTGCAGGATTAACGTGTACCTGCTCCCAGTGACTGGTCTACCCTCCCATGTCCTGCCGATGTGCTGTCATCAGCAGTGCCCTGGAGAACTGTAGACCCACCCGCCTGGCTCAGAATTGGACCACCGTGGGCGTCACTTGATTCTGACTTTCCGTTGCCAAATATGTCACTTTGGAGTCAGCTAGTCTTCATATGGTTTTGGATGGCATGTCTCCCACGTGCCTTGTTTTCTGGTGTGGGTCAGGATTCCAAATCTGCATGTTTTATTTTGAAGTCAGTGTAGAGCCAAGCATCCTGTATTAACTGGATAACTGGACACTCATTCTATTCATTCAGTGTGTAGGAGAGGAGATGAAACAAACAAAACAATTCTGCTTTATCTAGTGTTTCCTGAAAAGATAAAAGCCCCTCAAGCAGTGCATTAAGCTCACCTCTGCCAACTTGAATGAACTTTCAAGGAATACTTGTCCACTCTCAGTTCCCTTCCCCCTCTTAAACACAGCAAAGAGACTTAAGCACATTCCCTAGAGAAATCTCTGTTTAATAGGTCTGACCCTCCAACCTGACCTTAGATTGTGGCAGGAATGGTAGGGATCAGAGGGTAATTGATCATTGATTTCTTATTTGTGAGTCAGCTGTGCTGAAACTTCTGCTTTGCACGAAATGAAAATATTTATTCTCTCCTTCTCCAGCATTTATATCTGAAATTGGGAAACTGTTGGACTGATACATGAGTTTATTGATTTCTCGTGCTTATATGTGAGTTCAGTTCTGACCCGGCTGGAATCACAGCTGGGAGAAGTGGGGAGAGAATGATCTCCTTATTGGTAGATATACTGTACTGACTTTTGGTAGTGAGCATACATCATTCTTTGGTTTACTGACAACTGGAGAGCAGTTCCCTTTGATCAAGTATTGCAGCTCTATATTATAATGGAAATGCTCACTGCTGTTTCTGGTAATTGAGGTCTGCTCACTATTAATTGTGTGCACCCGGTCAGGACTCTGAAAGTGCGAGAGAGAAAACACTGTCTGTTCAAAACATCCAGAAGGGACAAACTAGCACATTGTGAATAGGCTGCCCCTTGTTTGCTCAGCAATGTACAGAAATTGTCATTCCCTCATATGTTCCCTCTGAAACTGCAGAAGATCAGTGATGTTCAATGTAAACAAAAGTGGTCCAACCAGCAACTTTACATGTAGGGTTGAGAAAGGTACATGTAACCAGACACCAGTTAGGTTTCCTGTCTGGACAGGCTTAAAAGGCAAAGGCTACATTGTTGAAGCCTTCAAACCCTGTTCTCGTTCTCCAGCACAGACTCCTGACTGTTCTTTCAGGCTGTGTTCATCACCGTGCTCGCAGTGGAGTATTGAAGTCAGTAATTCTATCTTAAAATTTAATAAAGTCTTTTGTCATGGTGATCAAGTGCCATTTTTGTGAACTTCTGTGCCAAATTAAGTCAACATTTTGAAACTTATAAGAATTTGTATTAACATTTTTGCTTTACGCCTAAACATTAACTTACACGCAACCCCACCCACTAGACAAACTTTCTGTTATGTCCTTCCCATCTGTTATGTCCTTCAGCATGTTTCTGTCACCTTGTATGTAGCATGTGTATGAGTTGTTTGGTTCGGTCGCTGCCTCACACGTCGGAAATCGTTTCCAGGTGGCCTCTGTATCGAGTGTCTCCTCAGATCAGGAACCCGAGTTTTGTGCTGTATACCAGTGCCAGAAAACAAAGGGCTTTAGTTCTCCAAGCACCTACAGGCGTTTGATGATAAACTTAGCGAGTGCAATAAATAAGCGAGCCAGTACCGTTGAGCTATTTGAGATGCGTTTTAACCTTAAATTGCATTATTGACTGGCTTTAGTGAGAACAAAAAAGCCAGGAGTTTCTAGTTGCTGAGTGAGCCGGCAGACTCTTGGGATTGAGGTCAAAACCCTGCAGTCACCTCTGCAGCTTTGATCTTTGTGTAGCTTGTAATTTTGACTGCTGATGGATGGGGATTAGACCTTTCAGTGCATTCCAGTGAAACAACTGCTGTTTGGAGAACTTTTGTTAAAACCAATTGTGCTGTTGCACCATATCACAATCATTTTCATTTTTATTATCACATAAAAATGAAAAGCGTTGAACCTGACTGCATCTTGTATCAGTTTGATGTTGGACTTCAACTTTTACCTTGTCCTTGAAATATCTGACAGATTCTCTCAATATAATGTAAATAGGGAGAATCAGTCAAATACTTCAATGTCACATCCTTCAATAGGAGAAATAATTTGCATTTTTACAGTGCTTTACAGAGACGTTGAAATATCTCAAAGCCCATTGCAGGTAATTACTGTCAAGTAAGTATAGCAACTGTTTTTTGTGAAATATGTACATCACAGGTTTTTCTTTGTGTTCCTGGCGTGATCACAACCTAATGAAAGTGATGTAGGAAGCAACATTTTACAAGGCTGCAGGTGGAATTTTGACTCACGCAAAGGTTTTAATTGCAGCAGTGGATGTTCGATTGACTCCCCTCTGTAGAACGAATATTTGTAGAAGTGCCAACATTGAAATGGAAATCAATTTGATTAGTAAGCTCTGCCAGGCTACGATCTGAGAGAATGTGTTGTCCGTAGAATAAACAGTGCCAGATTTTTCCCAGTGCTCTTTCACTCAGCGAAAATACATTACAGTTTCTGCGACTTGCTAGGAGGCATCTGTGCTCATTCAGTCTTCACAATGATATCATAGATCTATTCCTGAGTGCTCTTCGGTCTTTGTTGAATAGACATGTATGCTTGAGCTAACCATTGCACTATGCAGCCTTGAAAGTAAAATAAAGAAGGAAACTCTTGCAGGCTTGCAATTTAATTAAAGATGCACCAACCAAAGTTTCTTTATGGGAGCATTGCTGCTAAAAATGCTATTGACATGCTGTGCTAATGCTAACTGTATAAAGCAGTATATCTCCCTCATCCCAAATGCTAGCAGTGTAGGAATTCCATGCCATGCACAGGCTATGAAAGGCTCAGACAGGCAAGTCTCAAATGCAGTAAGATTCTTGTCTTCAGCACTACTTTCTTCAGAAATGGATGAAAACCCACCTTAGGGTATGGTAATTTATATTTCCAGAAGACAAGTGATTCTGGTTATTCATAGTGGCTCAGGGATCTCTGATAATATCACTGCCTTCATTGACTCTATTCTAATTGTAATGTAATTCATGTTTTTAAACAGGACAACCAAATTTATAAATTGCACCACCTATCTCTGCTTATAAAAGACATTAAGCTCTATCATGCACTGCAGCATAAAGTCGATTTTGTTGCTGTGATATTTTAGATTATCACTATAATTGGTGTTGTTCGTAGCAGACATAAAATCGTACATGTTGTCTTCTCGGTTGGGTAACCATTAATGCTGTTTTTTTGCTCTTTTTCATTCTTGGTTAGAAGCCTTTCACTCACGAGATTATTCATTTCAGTTTATCATCCAAAAGCAGCAGAGAACAAAAAACAACAAAATTACATTTGTATAACACCTTTCACGTCGGGAGGACGTCTAAAGGCGCTGGACAGTCAGTGTTTCGCACCCGAGCTGGGGGTTGGGATTGGGGAGGGTGGAGGGCAGGGGGTGGAGGAGGGTGATCGAAAGCATGGTTGAAGAGGAGGATCTTGAGATGCGTCTTGAAGGAGGCAAAGGAGGGGTCGAGGTGGAGGGACTGCGGGATGGAGT